GCCATTCATCTAATAATGTGCAGTCAGATCCAAGCTATCTGGGGATATGTAGAAATGTGTGTTTTATGTACTAAATGTGTCAGTATGTAATTTTATGTCTTTTACTGTCTTTTTGTCTGCCATGTGGGTAATGGAGTTTGGCTCTGTCTTTGGAGATAATTAGATTCCTTCTCCAATTATCTCCAGGGCAGAAGGGAGGAAGCCAGGATGCATTGTGGGGATGTTTTACTTTTACTGTTTGAGCCAGGGGGAACAAAAGATACTTTTACTAACTTTTGAACCCCTGGTCTGATTCATGCCATTTTTTAATATGTTGTTCCCCTGAATGGATTGATTGTGAATATGTATTTTTATGCGAATGTGATGTATATTTTGGGAGTTATGAATGTTGTGTAAAAACTGTATTTTCCCTACCTATGATAATTGTATTTCCCTGTGTGTACAGATAATTAGTTTACAGGTAGAGGGGAGGGCTATGTGTGGGATGTAACTATTGTGTGATTGGTTAATGTACGTTACTGTGTGTGTCCCTCCCCTTCATGGGAGCACCTAATAAAAAGGGCTGCAAGCTAGCAGCCAGAGAGTTCTATTTTTACCCTCAACTTGAGTCCTGTCTCTTATTGGGGGAATCTGCTACAAGGGATTGCTATGCTAGGCATATTCCCTTGCTATAATCACTGAGCTCTTGTAAGAGCTTGTTCCTGCTTCGTTCTGAAGGGAGATAGCTGCAGCCTGCGGTGCTTATGGTGTCTGGTGGAGTGCTTGGAGTCCTCTGGAAGCGCTAGGAGCATCTTTCAACGGAGGTACCCAGTCGGGGTGCCAGGTGATCCGTTACAGTGACCCCCAGATGCTCTCGCCGCCTTTTGTAATAGTCAGATGACCAAACCGAAATCCCTCTCTCTTTGTTATACACCCTGTTCCAAATTATTATGCAAATTCTATTTAAGGGTCACAAAGATTAAATATTTTGTTTTTCAGTGTAACTCATGGATTGCATTGTGTCTCAGGGCTCTTTTGATCACTGAAAACAATATCAGACACCTGTGATAATTAGATTGCCAGGTGAGCCCAATTTAAGGAAAAACTACTAAAGGAGGGTGTTCCACATTATTAAGCAGAGCACCATTTTCATGCAATATGGGGAAGAAAAAGGATCTCTCTGCTGCCGAAAAAAAGAGTGAAATAGTTCAATGCCTTGGACGAGGTATGAAAACATTAGATATTTCACGAAAACTAAAGCGTGATCATCGCACTATTAAAAGATTTGTGGCTGATTCAGCGCACTGACGGGTTCGTGCAGATAAAGGCACATTGAGGAAGATTTCTGCCTTGATCCATGCATCGGATCAAGAGAGCAGCTGCTAAAATACCATTACATAGCAGCAAACAGATATTTGAAGCTGCTGGTGCCTCTGGAGTCCTGCAACTATGCATAAACCTTCTATTTGACCACCACTAACCAATGCTCACAAGCAGAAACAGCTACATTGGGCAGAAAAGTGCATGAAGACTAATTTTCAAACAGTCCTGTACACTGATGAGTGCTGTGCAACCCTGGATGGTCCAGATGGATGTAGTAGTGGATGGTTGGTGGATGGCCACCCTGTTTTTACTAATCCTTGATATATGCAGATGTTATACAGATGTTTCTTACCATTGTAATAATGCGATATTGAAGAATTGCCAATCCTGCAGGTTTTGATAGATCAAGGTCAGCAATACTTCCCAGCATGGCTTAGGGGGTTAGAAAAGTCCACAAAAAGGATTGTTTGTGTGTCCTTTTGTATACTGCTTGGTTCAAAAGGCATTGTCTTGTGTGTCCTTTTGTATACCGCTTGGTTCAAAGGGCATTGTCTTTCAGTAGTTTTGGGCTGGAATCATGGGAAGAGAGCTGGTCGGCCCCTTTAGGGTCCCCTGAGGTGTAAAAATTACCTCTGCAAAGTATGTGGAGTTTCTTACTGACCACTTTCTTCCCTGGTACAGAAGGAAGAACTAAGCTTTCCGTAATAAAATCATCTTCATGCATGACAATGCACCATCTCATACTGCAAATAATATCTTTGCATCAATGGCTGCTATGGGGATAAAAGGAGAGAAAGTCATGGTGTGGCCTCCATCCTCCCCTGACCTCAATCCTATTGAGAACCTTTGGAGCATCCTCAAGCAAAAGATCTATGACGGTGAGAGGCAGTTTACATCCAAACAGCATCTCTGGGAGGCTATTCTGACATCTTGCAAACAAATTCAAGCAGAAACTGTCCAAAAACTCACAAGTTCAATGAATGCAAGACATGTGGAGCTGCTATCAAATAAGGGGTCCAATGTTAAAATGTAAGGTGACCTGTTAAAATGTTTAAAAAGTTAAAATGTTGTTATAAGTTTGATTGAAACAGCTTTTGATTTCAGTAAATATGCTGCAAACACAACAAATTACAATTTTTCAGTTCTTTACAACCTTTAAAGTGTTTTTAAACTTACTGTGCATAATAATTTGGAACAGTGCATTGTAAGTTTTTATGTTTAAAACATTAGAATTATGCTGACTGTTATTTACATCAATTATTTAGGTAAATGAGAAAAATATAATTTGCATAATAATTTGGAACAGGGTGTAAGGCCTGGTTAGAGTTGCAACCCAATAAACCCATTACATGTAAGGCACACTGGGGGGGCAGATGGGGGTAGTAAATTGACTGAAGTGGGGTGGCTTCGCGCATTCAACGGCTTGTCCAATGGACGAAATGTTATACACACATTGAAGCGCATAGAAAGCTCTTGTACAGATGGTATCTGACACCGCACAAGCTAAATAAAATTTACCCGCAGCTTTCCTCCAAATGCTGGAGGTGCCAGTCAGAGGAAGGTACCTTGATACACATCTGGTGGACATGTGAGGGAATCCGCCCGCTATGAGAGGATGTTAGACTATTGCTGGACTCGTTGGGTGTGCCAAACTTCAACCTAACCATCCCCACATGCCTACTACTATTACTCGATGCTCAGGTTGACAGTAGTCGTCAACAGATGATAGCGCTAATCATACTAGCGGCCAGAAACTTCTCAGAAATTGCGGCAAACTGGAAATCTGACTTGCCTGTCTCGCACCCAGTTAAAGGACAAAGTCCAACAATTTTATGTATATGAGAAAATGTCGATGAGCACACCAATACAGTACAAAAAATTTCAGAAGACATGGAGCAACTGGGAAAAACAGGCCCAAACAGACAGTACACAAGACAACCATGACTGACGGCAAACCCAAATGCATGACTCTTGGGAGCCAAAACCTTGGGAGACTACCGAGCCTCACCCCCTCCCCTGCATTAACCCACAAACACATACTACACCACCTCATGGGAGGCCATCAGTGTCTGTAAGTTACACAGCCTATATATGGATTATACTTTTGTTATTTCAGGTTCTTTTTCCCTTATTTTTGTTCCTTTCATATCCTTTGTTTATGACAATGCCGTATTAAGGAGCAGGGCTACAATAATTCACGTTGTAAACATATATACACATAACATCGATGCATAATGCACTAGCAAGTGAGTCCAGATGTCAACTATGTGACAATGCCAATGTATATGCCGAACTCAAAACTGTGACAAAGATGTTTTTCTATGCACTGCTACAACACTTCAGGCGGTAAATATAATGGCAGCATAATATAGTTGTATGCAGTAAGACTGTCAATGTGTACACCATGCTCCAAAATGTAACTATGTCAAAAATGTCATGACTTCATAAAAATCTCAATAAACTACAAATATATATATATAAAAAAAAAGACGATTGCGTGCATTGTAACAACAAATTTGTCTTA